GGCTCTGTGATATGTCATATTCACCATTTAAACCATGAAGCACAAACCTAAGTGAACATTTGTATCAATTGATTTAAAGACAAAAGGTAATACTATTTTTGAATGATAAAAATTTAAATCAATCTTAATCACCTATCAACTTCTTGTGGTGTAATTTGACAGATGTTAATAGCTTTAGTCTCTAGGATCTGCTGGCTCTAGAGTTAGCAACCTCCTTAAATGTACATCACTCCCACCCCCCCTCCTTTGGTGATAAGGACACCTTAGAACACAACAGGAAACCTTGTAAATTGTGAAGACCCATAACAGAAAAAACACAGATTAGTTTCTGTGTTTGTTTAGCTAGTCTCCTTAATGGAATGGTGCCCCTCCCCCAGCAAATTCACATCCATCTAGAACCTGTGAATGTGACCTTATTTGGACATAAGATCTCTTTGCAGTTGTAATCAAGTTAAGGTGAGGTCATGATGGGTTGGAGCGGGCCCTAAACCCAATCACTGGTGTCCTTAAAAGAAGAGGGAAATTTGGATAGAGACACAAGGGATAAGACACAGGGAGGGAGACCCTGTGAAGAGAAAGTGTAGATTTGCAGTGATGCAGACACATGGCAGGAGAGCAAGAACTGCTGGCGACCACTGGAAGCTAGAAGAAGCAAGGAAGGATTCTTTCCTGGAGACTTGGGAGGGAGCAGAGCCTTAATTTCAGACTTCTAACTTCCAGAACTATGAGAGAACAAGTTTCTGTTGGTTGTGCTACTGTGTAAGATCAACCTCAGGAAACCAAGACAGTTAAGGGCACCCATTGCTACCAGAAGAATACAATTGCCCAAGGAACAAGTGTACTGGTTGGGCGGGTGTTACTGCCTGGGGTAGCTAGGACATCTCAAATAGAACTAAAAGTTGGAAGAAACACAATAAAAAAGGGAGAAAAGAGGCAGAGGAATAAGTCCGTAAGGGAGAGAGAACAATATACCATCACTGGGAGTCTTTTCATCTTGGTAAGTCTGACTAGGGCTTGTCTTACCAAAAATAGTCTCTGGAAGATCAGTGATCTTCACTTTACTTCCCTCCTGCCTAGACTAGAATAATTCTTCAAGAGTGCCCCTGAATGCTGACTTTGTTTACTAAATTAACTATGGAGAGTGACAGCATCTTGTTCATCTTTGTACCCATAGTGCCAAACACAGTGTCTTACTGGGGAGTCAGTCCACATATGTAAATAACTTCTTCTCTGCTTCTGCTACCTGTAACACTGTAATAAAGCCAAGTATACATTTGGGTAGAGATTAATTCAGATGTTTCTCTCAAATTGGCCTAAGAACTGTCCAAGGTTTGGGCATTAGCTACAGTGCTACTGAGTTTCACCCAGAGCTTTCTCTACAGTTTTACATTCTTGGATGGGCCAAGACACTTCTGTAAATGTTATCATGTTTTTCTCTTTTCCTTTCTGTCTCCCTTTACGTGCCATGAGTAACACCTTTCATCCAAAGTTGTGCCTCCTGATTCAATATTTATTTATTAAGTTATTAATGAGCATAAAAAAACATGCCAGACATGGTTTTGATTTTAGGAATACAACAGTGAACACATGGTCTCTACTTTTAAGACCTGGTAGGGCACATGAACACATAAATAGGCAATTAAATTTAGTATAATAATGTTTGAGTGGAATGGAGTAGATGGTAGGAGAAACTTCCCTCTTGGAAAAGATGGATTTTAAACACAGTGATCCCTCTTTGTTTCTCTCTAACTGCTGTAGGAAAAATATTAAAGATGACTCACAAGGAAATACAAATGGTTATTGGCACATTGTCTTATTTCATTCAGCCATATTATAACTTTAATAGTTATGAGTCTATAAATATGAAATTATAGTCCCTATAGCTGTCCATACAAGAAGCAGTTTTTAAAGAAATAAATCTTTTCTTAGTGTGCCTAAATAGACTACAGTGACTAATCTCTGAACTTGCCATTTGTGGGACCAATCCTTTGTACATTTCTTGGTCTGGAGCTCATTTTTTCTTCTTTGGGTTTGGTTGGAAGCCGTTTTGGCAGGATCTCAGCAAATACTTACAAGGTATCACTCTACTACATCCAGAGTAAGTCTCTGGGCAGACATCAATCAATAAGATAGACTGGTTCCTTGTCTTCCTGCAGCTGGCTGTTTTAGCAAAAGAAGGAGTTGTGTTTCTCTGAGAGTCACTTAGGGTCTAATTCGAATTGCTCTCAAGTTTTTCTAGCTGATAGCCAGAGCTGTCAGCTGTTTTGAGGTTATTCTATCAAAACCTCAAAAATGGTTAAAAAGGAGTTATTCTGATTATTTTTGTCTATTTAAAGAAGCAAGTATTTGGCCTGAGATACCCTCTCGCTCCCCACCCCCAACAGAATTTAGACCAAGTAGTGGACTTGGTCCTGTGTGTAAATATTTGTATCTTTGTAGCTGCAGAGAAAGGACCCCAATTAAATGCTCTTGAGCATTTAATTACTTTCCGTTGAGACTTTAACATTAACCCTGTTTATTACTCTTAAACTACTCCAGAGGGCAATATTTTTTATTGGTGACAGATTGCCCAAACTGTTGCCAGTGACCTAATCTCCCTTGGTAGACATGGCTGCATTTTGCTGAGAGGTATTCTCCTGAATGAGGAGTGTATACTGTATTAAAGCAAGTGCTTTCCTCTTTGTTTCTGCAAATCTGGGCTATGGATTCATGCAGATCCATTGCACAGACCTTGAGTTTTCACTTGAAATCTAGGCATTGGATGTGGCTGCACACATTCAGTCATGTGCCTTAATTCTTTGACCCAGTTCTTCCTTATATATTATTGATAGAAATCTGATATTTGGCATCTGAAGCTATTCATGACATGATTTGAGGTCATAGGAGGAAATCTAGAACCAGATGCCTAGAATCAAAGCATCAGGAAAGAACAGTTCTATTTTTGATTTTGCTAGGCAACTTTAGACATACCACTGACCTTTGAACTTCAGCTTTCATATGTATTAAACTGTACTATTCATGCTTTGCCTATGCATGGCGTTCTGATGAGCACCGGCTCATGTAAGATAAAGGCTAATTATTGCTGTCAAAGGTAGTGGCAGGATCCACTGGCTTGATAATCACACTTTATTATCTCCACCTTTCCCAGCACTTCATGAAGTAGTGTTCATTGATTTAAATTGCTGGAGTCAGAATAAAATTAGTTCAATGTGTCGCATCAGTAAAAAAGCATGTAATGACAGATTTGGAAGAAAAAGAGTACTAAAGACTCTATAAGTTTTTTATGTCTTATCTCCTTGTGTATAATATATGTAATCATGTATATGTGTATAAATATATAATCACTTAATTATTAACATTTCAAAAGAGTATTTGGCACTTGCTATCAATGAGTCCTTGCAGAGACCTGGCACAAGAATGTATATAAAGATAACAGGTGATTTGACAAAGAATTTTTGAGGCAAAAAGTATGTCTACTTCTGGCACAGAAATCTCAATAAAGTATACCCCACCCCTTTGCTGGCTGTGGATGAAAAAGAGGAGAAGAAAGAGAAAAAAAGAAGTGGAAATCTTCTGTATCTAACATTCTAATTTTCAGTCCCAAACATAAAGGTTTTTCAATATTATTATTGCTAGGAAAATAATTGGCTTTCAATTATGCACTCTTAAATAACATCATAGAGGCCAAAGAATAGTTAGATATAGCTACAATACTGTGCAACTAGCAATGCTCACCAACCCAAGAACATAAAAAGATGAATTTGTTCCCTCAACTGCATCATAACTAATGAGTTAGGAGAATCATAGTTACGATTCTCATTGAACCTACATTAGACACAATAACATGTTTGTGAAGGGTTGCATTTGGTATGTATGATATAATTCTGGACACAATGACTTTTACTTGCATTGGTCAGTGCTTTGCTGATACATGTACTTTGGAGGAAGTTCAACTGCAAGAGGTCAGTGGGTTAAATAAATTTCACATCACATTCAAAGCATGGATGATTAAAACACACTCTCTCCCCCCTCCAATCACACTCTTTGCCTTCTTCATACAAATAATATATTTTGATCTTGTCATAATTATAGGTTAGTAAGAATCCTTTGCTGCTTATTAGGAAAAAATGCAAAAATATTTTTGCATATATATAGACAAATATTAACTAATATATTTAAGGTTCTCATAATTAAATTATTTATTAATATTATGAATATGTTTCAGATGTTTTTAGACATATATCCTGATCTACTCAAATTGTATTTAATTTTTTAATTACTACAGATAACAAATACTCCTTCCAAATTGACATATTTTTGCAGTACATAAATATTTATTCCTGGACTCTCACTCTAATTGTCTAAAATGAGAATTTGTTTCTTTTACTATAGGAACAGATGTGGTCCATCATAGTAGCCCATAAATAAGGTGTCAAACTGTTAGATTGATCAATTAATATAAATTATTGAAAAATAATGTAACTTTAAGGTCACTAAGGAATTAAGCTTAGT